TGCACCTTTCTTGACAACATTAGGAGGGATAAGGAACCATTTATAATATGGTCCTGTTTGCTTCTAAGTTGCTATGAGGCCACCAGAGTGATGATCAGGAGCAGGCAGCGGTGACAGACGGGACTCTACCTCTTGTGAGCTGGGTGACCTTGGGCAGATCCCATTCTCTTTCTGGTCTTCAGTTTTTGCATTTGCCAAGCAGGATGTAAGTAATACTGTCCCATTAGGGCTAAAAGAGCAGCTATTTAAACATTCCTCACGTGAATCGACCTAAACTAGAACTTCGTATAAATTAGGTAATATAGAATTAAAAACTTATGGTAACAACTCAAGTGAAAATGGTGTTTATTCACCCTTGTTGGAGAAATAATGCTAATGTTTATCACCAGCAGTGTTGCAGGCCCCAGTAACTGGCATAAAAAAAAAATGCTCGACGCCCTCGGTCAGTACATTTTTACTGAGCACATGCCAATGGGCTGTGCTTAAGTAATTTTACACTAGAAAAATGTTTTTACTGTCTAGAAGCTTGTTCGCCATCTGCATTTGCTATAATATATAAGCATCCTTCTCCCTGAATAGTAATTTGGACTTTTAAGAAACAGGTTTGTATGTTAGGAAGGAGGCGGCACAGCGGGAAAAGCCTAGGTTTGTAGTCACGCAGAGCTGGACAACGTCCACGTCTACCACTGGGGGGCGCTGCACACCAAGCCCTCTGGGCACACCTCCTTGAGGGCTAAACCCAGAGATCACTGACCTCTATAAAGGCATGGCGAGGGGTACCTGAGAGAGACGCCCAGCATGTAGGAAATAACTAATAAATGAATTTCACCTTGAATAGTTTTGTTATGATTAAACATACTTTTTTTGCCCAACGGGGGGAAAAAAAAATGTATTGCTTATAGCCATAGAATGTATGAGCATGTTTCTTCTGCCCATGGAAGCAGTTGGTAACCAGGACTAATCGGTCTGCTCTAGACCAAAGATCAAGGAAGGTCTTACAGAAAAGCAGCAGTCTGGAGTTTTTGGTTTTTTTTTTTTTAGGTCATCTACACTCATGTGTTTATTAAGTATTTTTCTTAATCTATAATAGCTTGAGATGTTACCAGCTACTTAAAATTTTTATCTCCATTAATTATATGGGAGATATTGGTAGAAAAAATACTATTTGCCAGATAGAATGAGAACATCACCTACAAATAGACCATCACAACTTAACTGTTTGTCTTTGTGGTCCAGTGGAATTACTAGTCATTTTCTCTTTTCCATTTCTAATTGTCTCAGAATTTGAACTCAGTGGAGTCACTGAATTACGCTCTACACTCTAACAGTTATTTTCTTCTATAGGAAGAAAGTACACTGTCACCCTCCCTAAACTTGAACATTGAGGCTAAAAACTCTGGAAGTCTACCTTCCCAGAAGAATATGCCAGAACCTCCACACATCTCTGGAATAAGACTTTAGGGTTCAGTCTTTCAAATAGCCCCAAGCAGAAACCTTAGTTCAAATATGTCTTCCTCTCAGTAGTTTTGGAGGCTTCCCAGTTCCATCTTCTAAACCTGGTGGAGTCAAGTGGCTTTTATGAGGAGGTAGCAGGAGGCAGAGTTTATTGCAGGAGGTTTTCCTTTCTAATACCTGCTTGCCTAAGAACTGACTACCTGCTTCTGGTGGACTATCCCAGAAAGTGCATCTACGGAAAGGAGCTGAGGTGTCTCACTGAGTCTTGGAGACCCATGTTCAGATACTGCATCACGAAGGCCTGCAAAGTTGTCACTCTGCAAAGGGGCTCAGCTCTGCTTTGACAAACTACGTTATGATAAAAAAGTTTAATTTTTCGTCTGTTCATATACCACCCACCACCACTTCCCTAATTATTGTAGAAGAATCTTGGGAGCTTCTCTCCTGTTACTTTTTTTCTGGGGTCTTAAATCATCCACAGCCTTCCACTCATACATAAAATTTAACTTACTTGAGTGACAGCCACATCTTCCAGCTCGCTGGGACATCTGTGTGCTTTCTCCCCCTGCGTAGCCCTGACCAGCACCCTGGAAGGTTTGGAAAGACCTTCTGGACCAGCTGTGGGCATGGAGTACGAGGCCCTAGAGCCTACCTTTTTACTCAGGTGGCCCCAGAGCTTAACTTCTAAGACTCTTTTACAAAACTCTTGGGCCTGGTCCCAATCTTCAGCCCACTCCCACCAGGTGTAAAAGGTTCAGGCTCTCTGTAAGACTAGGTTGGGAAGGAACTGTGGCGTCCTTCCAAATTGGTCAGAGGAGGGAGGTGATCACAATTAGCCTATTATGCTAGGCCATGAGCGCAACGCGAGCTAGCCATCATCTCACATGATCTCCAACAGCCCAGTGGGATTGACAGGGGCCATCACTTTGCCCATTCTACCAGATATGGCCAGAATAACCCCCAAAGTAACACAGGTAAGAGCAGAGATGAGCACCAGAGCCCAAGTCTGTTTAATGCCAAAGCCCATTTATACTGGTTTTTTCCTGCAACAGCTACAGTTGGTAATTTTAAAAAACACAGTGAATAGAATTCGTACCAATGATAATTTTTCTTTATTTCAGGAGTTAAATTTCATTCTGCAGTAGAAATAAAAACTGTGATTAGGAAATATTGAGACTGATTTCAAAAACAGAATTTACACAACCAAATGGGTCGAAAGCAAAACATATCTATCGTTCAAAGCATTTTTTAGGTTGCTATTTATGTAACATCAATATCTGTTTACAAGAAAATTAGTCCCACAAAATTATAGCCACACCTTGTATTTTTGGTAGATGTAATTGGTTACTTAGGTTAAAATGTTAAAGGGATTAAAATCAAGGTGACTCAAGACAGAAGCTTATTTCAAATGAGTGAAATGTATAACTGGCAAACCCAGAAAGCGTAATTAGTGTATGTTGTATAAGCAGTGACTAACATATTAGTTCTACCCTTTACGCCGATTAGCGGTTGAGTCTCAAATGAGCTTCTGAAAGCTGACTTTTAGTTAAGAGTCAGAAAACTCGCTATATAACAGCACTCAGCGGGGAATCACTTTATACCACCTGGTTTTATACTGTAGTTTCTCAGTTCCAAGATCCGGTGCCATCTGACCCCCACGCAGTGCCATTTATAGTCCCCAGACTAGAAATATACCTTAAAATTGATGTCAAAAGGAGCTAGCCAACCACTTTGCCCGAGAGGCTGTAATTAACAGTGAATCTTATGGACATTAAAGGGCCAGAAGTTTTATTTCACAAAGACATCTTCACAAGCATTCAAAGTACTCTTCAGAGAACGTCGTCTTGCTAAATGTAAATGAAGTCTGGGGTGATGGCTGTGCTGAGAGGCTCACTTCACTTTTTCCAACATGCCATTTTATCAATTGCATGGCTTTGCTTTTAATTTCAAATTTTCATTTTTATTATAGGAGTATAAATATCACTGAGAAGGGAGTACTGGGGAGAGGGGAAAAAAGTATCCTCTTGACCTAAAAAAACTTGGTAGTTACTTTCAAGATCTGATGAAAGACCCCCGGGGGCTGTTGGGAGGAGAGTTTGGGGCTGCGGGGAGAAAATGCAGCCGTGGAGACACGCCCCGCATCTGCACCCAGACAAGTGCTGCCAGTACAGTGAAGGCCAATCCAACCCCTGGGGGTCTTGCAGAGGCCATTTGCAATGCAGACCCCAGCAAACAGCAACAGCTGGTTTTTATTTAGAAGCAGAGAACCTGACTGCTGAGACCTTCCTTCTCCCCAAGGAGCTGGAGCTCTCGGTGGGCAGCGGAAGGTCCCCCAAGAAAGCAGAGGCACGGAGTACTGGACTGAGGACTCCCATGTGTTAAGAGGATGTTCAAAATCCCTTCCTGGTCCCAAACATGATGCAGGAAAAAAACTTTTGAAAATGATAAAAGAATGCTCAGAGGCCAAGCTTTCCGACTCGCTGGTAGGCTAAAAGTGCATTCAAAACCTCAGCCAGAAAAGATCACTGTGACCCCAACCCACACATCCTGGCAGGCTGTTGGCCACATTGTGAGTTCTCTGCCCTGACATTCAGGAGTCTAGAGCCCCGCCATTTCCAGGACAAGGGCCCAAATCCTAGGGGTGCACCAGTCAGCAACAAGGAAATGAGGCCCCATCCTAAGCCCAGGGCTCAGGTCAAAGGTCACAGCCAGCCAGAGATGAGCAGGGGCTGCCAGGCCTCAAGGGCAACCTTTAGTAATGGAAATGGTAGAGGCATCACAGGTGCTTCCTTTTTTTGGTTAAGAAATGTTTTATAAGAATAACCTAAAAGTTTCCTAAACCAGGGTCTATGTGTGGTAGGAATGTATGAACATATTTATTTTCCTATTATGCTATAGTTAGATTCTAGTTAAAAAAAAAAAAAAAAAATCCCTTGACCATTAGAACTACAACCCAGGACACCAAACAAGGATGCTCATTGTGGGGATAGTCCTGTTTGAAAGTTTGGAGTTGAGATTTTCAAATTTGCTATTTTATACTTAATGTTTTCATCAAAACCCAGTTCTAATCCTGACTCTGCTACAAAATTTCTGGTGACTTTCGGCAGGTAACTGAGGGTCTTCGTTAATGAGGCCGTTGGACCCTCAGGGTCTAATGTCTTTCTAGCTTCAAAATTGTCTTGGAAGACACCTTCTCAAGCCAATGACTAAAAGAAGCTTATGTTACATTACTTCTCTTTGTTGGCAAAGAAGAAACAGATGCTCCTTAAAAACTGTTTTCTGTGCCCTCAACATTGCTTTACTGGTAAGAAATATGGAGTGACAGCTGCAGGCAGGTCACACATGAACACCTCTTGCCACTTTAAAAAATAGCAACAGGCCAAAGAAGAGGGGCACAGCTTTTGTCTAAATTACCAACCTTTACTTTTATAACCATTTAAGCATATTATCATTTAAAATTATACAAGTTTATTGCAATTCAAATTTTCACAGATTAAAAGACTGCATTTTATTAGAGTTAACTTATAGGCATAATTTCTTATTAAAAAAAGACAATCATCGTTCAGATTTTGGATGTAAATGAAACCCCTCTGCAAACCAAACACATGGAGTTATTCCTGCCAATCTAGCAGCAGCATCTTGATGATAAGCTGAATAAAGACATGACACTTACGTCATGTACAGAATGTAGGGTAAGGCTTGAAGCTGCAGGCAGCACATGTTCTCATAAAGGCAAGCTGCAGTGCTGCTACCCGCCGTACCTCACAGGCACATCATGGACGTGTCAGAGATCGTGACCCTCCCATGTGGCAGCGATAACCGCAGCACACTTTTGGAAAAAGTGCTTCCTCATTTACAAGTGAATGAATTCAGGCAATGCTTTATGAAAATGACAAGGTTCAAAAGACATTACTGCTCCAAGGCACCAAGGGTATAAAGCTTTTTAGAAAATACACAGAAATCAACAGACGAAAAAAGGGACTTAGTTCTCAATGGAGGACTCTGCTATGTGTAAATAATCACTACAGCTAGGTTACAATCAAAATGCGCATCAAACAGACTGTGCCGTGTGAGGGAAGGTCTGACCCAAGAGCGTTTCCACAGGCCCTTGGTGCAGCTGCTGGTATGAGCTTACAGTCTTCCCGGAGCCAGAGATGCTGCACATCATTTGTATTTGTAAAATCCTTCCCCAGTCTTCCTGCCAAGCTTATTCTCTGCCACCAGCTTATTCAAGGATTCACTGAGTTGAAAGGAGGGGTTCTGTGGATCCATCTCATGCCATGCTATTGAGAGGAGAGAAGAGGGCTTAGGATAAAGTGCTGGGTTTATTTTTATATTGTGGCATTCCCAAGGCAGTCTAGAGGCAGAACTTGCGGGGAAGGGTCTCTAGTCTTATGTGGGAGAGACCCTTGAGTGTGGTGCCTATTAAGCCAACATGGCAGAGGAAGGCTGAGCTGGTACAGCCCCAGGGGCCCTAAAGTAGGTGTGCGAAGCTCCCCCACTCCCACCCCACAGCCATGCTGCTTGAGGCCTGGCTCCACCACGACCCTCCTGTTTATCCAAGCCCTTCCTGAAATCACTGGTTCATCTGCTCTTGGATCCCTCACTGGCAGTCAAAACAACTTTCAGTACACACGTCAAAAATCTGAATTTGCTGCTAGTGTTTTGTATCCTCTTAAAATCCCAAAGTTCATGCTTCAAGTAGAACCCTCCTCACTCCTCCCAAATATATAGGTATTTCTTGTGCAACTTGGTAATATCAGCTACTTTCAACTTCAGTAGTCCAATATTTTTACCCTGTCTTCAGAGCTACTATAGTAAAAAGGACATTTTAAAAAATGTGTATCTTGACTGCAGTGGAAGTTACACAAATCAGAATATGTGAGAGAATGACACAATGTAGCAAAGCCAATTTCCTGGTTTTCATAAGGTGCCATGGTTATGTAAGATGGAACCACTGGGTGATACTGAGAAGATGGATAAAGAGGACCTGTCGCTTGTACATTTGAAACTTCCTGTGAATCTATAATTAGTTCAAAATGAAAAGTTAAAAAAAGGGTTACTCTGTGAGGAGACAGCAGGCAGTCATGCTTTTCCTTCTCCTACCACCTATTAATTTGAATCTTTAAGCTGGTGGGGGCAGGACTGATCTACTGAGTCTCCTTATAATTTCTGCTTTAAATAGGAATTATAATTCGTAGTTGAGCGAGATTATCACAACTGCATTAGAGATAGACAACATCATTCAAATTCCTACCATTGATGATGAACTTCATAGAATCCAGCCCAATGAAATCGAGAAGCTCAAATGGACCCATGGGGTACCCAGCTCCCAACTTCATGCCAGTGTCGATGTCTTCCTTGGATGCATGACCTGAGAGTAGAAGAGGGCAGCCCTGAGTCAGCACCATCTTCCCCACAATCTCCCTGTCATGCTATTGGTTCCAGAATCACTAGAGTTTGGCATATTTGCATTCGAAGAACATCCAGAGTCAGGAATTCTGGTGTGGGCAGATTTCTGTCATAGAGGTACATGCCAAATATGCCACAAGCTTTTCAAAGTCATTCCACCAAGCTATCCCGCGAGGCGGATCCTAGAGCACTGCTACCTTGCTCACGGAGAGAGACGGCCCCAGTGGCCTGAAAAGATTAGTTACTCTCTGACGGGTTGGGGTTTTCCAACTGCAGAATAATTTACTAAAATGTCATGTAAAGCTAGAGTAGATTGATTGATAAATGGACTTTTTTTAAAATAAGCTTTATGTTTTTGTATGTATGGTATATATATTTTTCTTTTCCAGCTTTCTTGGTTTTGTAAGTAAAACGTATTCCTCTAGAATCACATTCACATAAGACCTTTAGTCAATATAATGTTAAAAAAAAAGGCCCAAACTTGATTTAGAATTGTCATGCAAGTTTGCAAATGTATTGAGTAGACTAAAACAAGGGCCAATATGCTTTTTCCTTGGAATTTTATCCTTAACATATTGTCCTTGGGCCACAAGAGGTCTTAGGAACAGGATGAGTCTGTAACAAGTGGCTGTCTAGAATTTTGTTCCAAAGCACAAAGAAACAGTCAATTATACCAAAGCTAAATAAGAGGGAAAAAAATGTCAACATAGAGAGGATTTCATACCCAAATATTTCAGATTTTTAGGCATGAGGAACAGGAACTACTTAAATATTTATAAAGGCTATTCTTAAAAGCAATGTTAAGTACTAAAGTAATGCCAAAGAATTTCAAGGCAGTTAAAATACCAACCAATTATTCTTTATGGGTCACATTATTAGTACTCTACTCATCAGTCAACCAAAGGATCCTGAGAATCACACTTTGAGTTTCAGGCCATAAGCAAGCAAAGAAAGCAAAAATGATCATATACATTAGTCCTCTCAGGTGGCCTCATTCATTCATTCACCCTTTATTTATATCTGTTGTGTGCCAGGCACCAGAGCCTTAGAATGAGACAAAGAAAAACAAGAGAAGCACTTGTATATTCATGTTGGGAGTATCTGTAATGGGAGAATTCAGATGCGTAAACCAAAAATTTCATCATAACAAGTGCTGAAGATTCATGAAGAGTCACACAGCTCTGTGTGGCAAAGATGGAAAAGTTTACTCACACCTTCATGACGTCACCAAAACCACTACCCAGGCCCAGGTGCTGCCATCTTGAAGAGAATCCCAAGGGAAAAGCGGGCAGGGAAGAGCATTCTAGGCGGCAGGAACAGCATGTGCAAAAGAAAGAATAAGAAAGCACGTGGCAGCTGATAAGTGGATTATGCTCAAAGGGTTTCATTAGCCCCAAGGCTTCGATGGCATCAGAAGTGGAATACTGGAATGACAGCCTAGCATACTCCCGTGGCTCAGCAGCCTGATGACCAATGTCCTCAGTCATCTATATGCCTCTGCTCAGGTGCCACTTCATCAAAGCACCCACCGCACTGTCCACGCATGTAAATTAGCAACTGTGGGGACTCCAGGAGAGGACTCCTGCCACCCTCTTGACTTCATCATTCTCAGAGATTACTGGTCACAACCTCACATGTTGTCATATCTACTGGTTCATTTACTGTGGGTTGTCTCCCCTCATTAGAATACAGGCTCTCTGGGGACAGAAATCTTATAGCATAATGATTCCGACTTATCTAAAGCCATTTAATCAAGCCTATATTCAAGGGCACGGAATGCCTAGAGGCAAGACTAATTCCAGGTTCAAAGACTCACGTGACTTATTTCAAAAAATATGAAAACATAGCTTATCATTAAAAAAAAAAAAAAATTTAAACAGTTTTAGAAAATCAGCACAACTCTTGAGTAATACAGAGCCAAAGAGGCAAAAAGAAAAAATAAACAGATTGTTGGGCTAGGTGGGAGCTAAGTGTGGTATCATGTTTTAGACCAATAATTCCTAACCC